AAAATAATTAAATAATATGTAAATGGGTATGGTAGTGGGATGATGTCACACTAGAATTTCTTTTTGAGTTATTTTAATAAGAGGGATTTAAATGGAAGTTGAATAGAGGGATATGTAGTGTAGTGGAAAGAAATAATGCATAGGGACTGACATGAAAATTTGAAAAAGAATTAGAGATTTTTAAAGAAGTGTCCCTTGTTTCAATTATGCAAAAAACTACATTACTACTACTTTTTTCCCCCCTTCTACGGGACATTTAAGGCAGTTTGTCTAGATGAGCATTTAAGAGAAGAATGGTTATATGTAGAGAATAGTAGATGAAAATAAGGCGTACAAATTTACTTGTTCAAAATGAGTTATTTTGATTAATTACGGTTAATTTTGAAAAGAATAATATTATTAGTTGTTAGTGAGAGTTTGAGTTTATGTTAAAATAATATTTACGATAAAACAGTTAAAATTTATTTGATGTAAAAATAGAATATAGATGTTTGATAATTAGCTAAAATTATGTAATTAAGTAAATACACAATGAATTAAAATGGTTGTCATGTTTAAGAATAATTGATTTATATTATTTAATTATATTGATAAAATTTAGAATAATGTGAAATTAAATTAAATTATATTTTGAATATGAATTGATTATTGAACGAGAAACTTTATAAACAAACACACGGTGAACACCAATATGCATATTTATATTGTGGACACGTCACTTTTTACTTTTTATGGTTAATCTCATCATAAAAATATCAACATTTGTTGATGGAACCTCCTTAACCTTTTTTATTTTCATATATGTTGTTTTTACTGTTAATCTCATTATCAAGTATAAACATTTGTTTAGAAATATATTAACCTAGTTGAACACTTTTTACTGAGTTTATGAGTTAATTTACTCAATTTTATCTCAACTCAAAATATAACTAAACTTTAACTCAATCCAACTATCTTCATATAATTAAATAATACAAAATAATTATTTTTACACATCACATCAACTTTAATTCACTATTCATTCATTCACATAATTTCAACTACCTATCAGTTTCAATTATTTCCAATCATTTATTTCCTACTTTTACATCAAATCAATTTAAATATTTTTATTTTAAATATTATTTTATTACATTCTTAAAATTCTACTAACAATTAACTATATCACCTTTTTCAAAATTAGATATTGTTAACCAAAATAACTCTTTTTCAACAAATTATTTTATAAACAATTAATATTTCATTTGAGAATCCAAACTTTCAAGATACGATAGGTGGGAATTTGGTCCCATTAAATCGTCCCTTCGTTATATGGCATATCATGTTGGATATTGTCTTCTAAGGCTGCTGTTGCTCAATGTTCTGAAAATCTTTTGAGAACGATCATCGAATCGGCGAAACTACTAGTCAATAGTTCACTTGTCGAACCAGTTTAATTAATTGTATATAATTTTTATTTATTTTGTATGTGTGATATATGATTGTAATTTTTGAATTTTTAATTGTTTAGTGTATAATGATATTTCATAAATAAATAAATAAAAAATAAATAAAAAAATCATGCATATTCTAATTATTTTTGTATATAATTTTTG